CCCGGATCTGGCTGACTAAATCATGTGTGGTGGTCGTGTCTAGGCGCAGTTCTTCCATCTGATCTGGATACGGCCCGGATCCGGCTGACTACATCATGTGTTGTGGTCGTGTCTAGGGGCAGTTCTTCCATCTGATCTGGATCCGGCCCAGATCCGGCTGACTACATCATGTGTTGTGCTCGTGTCTAGGCGCAAGTCTTCCATCTGATCTGGATACGGCCCAGATCCGGCTGACTACATCATGTGTCGTGGTCGTGTCTAGGCGCAAGCCTTCCATCTGATCTGGATACGGCCCAGATCCGGCTGACTACATCATGTGTTGTGCTCGTGTCTAGGCGCAGGTCCTCCATCTGATCTGGATACGGCCCATATCCGGCTGACTACATCATGTGTTGTGGTCGTGTCTAGGCGCAAGCCTTCCATCTGATCTGGATCCGGCCCAGATCCGGCTGACTACATCATGTGTCGTGGTCGTGTCTAGGAGCAGGTCCTCCATCTAATCTGGATACGGCCCAGATCCGGCTGACTACATCATGTGTCGTGGTCGTGTCTAGGAGCAGGTCCTCCATCTAATCTGGATACGGCCCAGATCCGGCTGACTACATCATGTGTCGTGGTCGTGTCTAGGAGCAGGTCCTCCATCTAATCTGGATACGGCCAAGATCCGGCTGACTACATCATGTGTTGTGGTCGTGTCTAGGAGCAGGTCCTCCATCTGATCTGGATATGGCCCGGATCTGGCTGACTACATTATGTGTTGTGGTTTTAAGGTCAAAGCCTTAAAACACTAAAAATCAAGGCCTCAGTAGGCAGTTTTTTAAAATCAATTAAATTTCTTTTAGTTTTATATTCTGTCCTCACTAGACGTGTCACTTTTCTGTCCAGCTAGACAGAACAATAACAGACAATGACAGTTGGTTCATGGCTTTTTACTCTTCCAATTAGCTTTCATGAATCGTTTCTCGTTTAACTTTAACACTGTAATATGGTAAACAGACATAGAAAATACAGCAATTAGAATTGTACATATTCAAAGTGCATAGCTGAGTGAGCAGTATTTACTGCCTAAATAAAGCATTCAAATAAAACATTAAATCAACACATTAAGCATTAAATGTTACATTGTCATGTCCATTTGTTAATTATATTCCTTGTTTTAGGTAATGGCTTGTAATCACGGAATCCAAATTAGCCTAATAATCCTATAACAAAAGACTGCTAGCATACGGCGCTCTAACTAGGCTAATGCTCACGCTTTGCACAGTCACTTTCATTCACATCTCTAGATTAATTAATTTACTGACAAACATCTTAAACCTACTACACATCATATTTATATGACAAAAAATAGCAACTTACAGCTAGGGCTGGACAATAATTCAATATCAATATCGTGATATTTTTTTTCAAATAACGGTGATATGATTTTTAAACACATTTCCGATATTTCAATATACATTACAGGCATGGGCTACGTTTACATGCAACCAGATAATAGTAATCGGATTGATGGCTCGATCGGACTGAAAAGCCTTAATTTAAACACCTCAATCGATCCAATTGAGCTCGATCTGAATGAAATTCAGAGCGGTGGTTTATTCCTTTTCTAATCCAATCGAGAGGATATGTAAAACACGTGATCAGATTAAAAACCGAAACTGAAAGGACTGCGCATGTGCAATGACGTTGAAATAGCATGAAGTATGACGTGCAAATGTAGTACCCTCACCGCCTGATGAGGGGAGAAATATGTATTAAATACACACAGGACACGGAGCTGCTGCTGCATCAATCATGAGAGTCTGTATTGTTATATTTTTTTTACAACCATTCAAAACGGTTCAAACTCAATTCCACGTGTCAATAAATGACAGAGCATCCCTTCAAGAGAAGTCACAATATAGAAAACAAAAAGTACATACATACAGTCTTTCATTGACTACTGTGTCCACAAATTAACCATATATATACTATAAATTAATATCCAAGCAATTATAACATATAATATACTCACACTTCATTTTCACAGTCACATGCAAAGTCACAACCTGCAATCATTGCATAATTCCAACCAAAATACATCATATTTGTGGATTTACTCTAATCTCGCTAATCTCTCTGAGACCGCATGGTCTCCATCACTAGCATGAAATGCGCAACTAGCACACGCGACACACAGACGTGAACTTGAAGCGAACTTTTACATTTCAGTAATAACTAACTTATTAAACACTTTAAACAATGTAGTTTAAATTTCTCAAAACTCTGACATGTAAAAAACATGCTCATTGCATCAATGTGTTCCATACCTGATGAGGGGAGAAATATGTATTAAATACACACAGGACACGGAGCTGCTGCTGCATCAATCATGAGAGTCTTGGTGCGTTCAAGTCATCTCGTATAGATCGTATTTACGAGTTGAACGCCACCACAATGTCGTAAATACCAGTGGGGAGTTAGGGATTTTCTCTAAGCCCCGATCTTTGCTGAGTTGTGGGCGTGTCACTGAGAAACATGGCGGAATACCACAATACTTAAATATTATGCAGTGATATTGTCAAGGTTTTCTATTTACAGCGCAGTTAAGCTAATTGCCTGCACAGAATATGATGGCATTATAATATAACAATGCAACATGTAACGATAAAGTTGGCAGTGGCTTCATAAATTAATTAAAAACATTAAAAAACAAAGTACATCTGATGCACATTTCTTTGTTCTTCTAGAACAAGAGTTTAAGAACCTTACTGTATTTTTGTGTAGTTAATTAAGAGAAAGTACTCCGCCATCTTACTCTGACGAGAGTGACTTGAACGCGCCTGAGTAGAGTTGGAGTTGAACAAGAAGAAGAGTTGTTGTGGCAGTAGAGTGTCTGTTATTTTCAGCCAGATTGCTGGTCCACTTTGTTCAGCCTTTCTAGGGACGGTGGAGTTAGGGATCGATTTTATTTTTAACTCGGTCCCTCATAATTATAATCCAAATGCCACTCTCCTGAAAGATGGAGCAGTTCCAACTTTAAGAACAGAAGCTATTTTTTTTTTCCCGTTGATGTGTATTCCTGTAATAGTTCGTATTGTTAGTTGTACGTTGTAACAAGGAAGTAAACTCCACAAACCAGTTTGTTAAATGCTAATTCATACATATCCGACAAACACAAACTTCTGTTTAATATCACCAGCGCAGCGAACGAGATGGTCCTCACTGCAGAACACGAAATCCAGGGGGAGGTGTTGGATCCAGATCCAACTCCTCCCACCTTACATATATCTAAACCTACCCATCTCCGCCCCCTGATCCCTAACCCCACCCCTAATCCTACCCATCTCCGCCCCCTGATCCCTAACCCCACCCCTAACCCATCTCCACCCCCTGATCCCTAACCCCACCCCTAATCCTACCCATCTCCACCCCCTGATCCCTAACCCCACCCCTAATCCTACCCATCTCCACCCCCTGATCCCTAACCCCACCCCTAATCCTACCCATCTCCGCCCCCTGATCCCTAACTCCACCCCTAATCCTACCCATCTCCACCCCCTGATCCCTAACCCCACCCCTAATCCTACCCATCTCCACCCCCTGATCCCTAACCCCACCCCTAATCCTACCCATCTCCGCCCCCTGATCCCTAACTCCACCCCTAATCCTACCCATCTCCACCCCCTGATCCCTAACCCCACCCCTAACCCTAACCCATCTCCGCCCCCTGATCCCTAACCCCACCCCTAATCCTACCCATCTCCACCCCCTGATCCCTAACCCCACCCCTAACCCTAACCCATCTCCGCCCCCTGATCCCTAACTACACCCCTAATCCTACCCATCTCCACCCCCTGATCCCTAACCCCACCCCTAACCCTAACCCATCTCCGCCCCCTGATCCCTAACCCCACCCCTAATCCTACCCATCTCCACCCCCTGATAACTAACCCCACCCCTAATCCTACCCATCTCCGCCCCCTGATCCCTATCTCCACGCCCTGATCCCTAACCCCATCCCTAATCCTACCCATCTCCACCCCTTAGATCTGGATCCAACTCCGCCCCCTGGATCTCGTGTACTGCAATGAGGTGCTACTGCAGCGAACTTGGAATGTTTGTGGTACAAAAAAAACACATACCGTTCTGAAACGTCCTTTAACAGCCATTCTTGAACAGGTTCTGCTCGATCCTCTCCACTTACATTCTCTGGGTCTGATTCGGGCTCAAATTGGTATGCCAATATTATTGACGCCATAGGCCTATGTCACACTTCCTGCTTCCGGAATGCGGAGTAGGGATTCAGAACTTCCGGTCAACAGTATTTCTCGATAGGGATTTAGATTATCAGCCGTAATGTCTAAACCATCCGAGGTAGACTGACCACGAGCTATGAGGTTGTGAAACGAAGGTTTTTGCTCCTGTAGAAGCTATAAGTTCGTATGAAATCAACCTTGTTTTAAGAAAAACATGTTTTATCCGCATTCTTATAAAAAAAAAAACTACACTACCCACAATCCTAAGCATAGCAGCAACATCTCCTGATTGGTCCAACTCGCTGTTACCGTAGAAACGTTTACCTTCCTGGCGAACGGCTAGAGCTATAACAACAATGGCAGGCTACACCTGTTGTTGTAGTGTACCGGGTTGCTCTGCATCAGGACGTAGACGGCCATAGGATTGTGGGTAGTGTAGTTTTTTTTTCATAAGAATGCGGATCACGCTTTCACACTTTCACGTATTTACATGTACAGTATACAGTAGGTAGTGCCTAGCTGTTACCTAGCTATGCTAAACAACATCTTGCGGCTCGTCAGGGAAAGTTTTTGGACCCACTGAGAAACTAAATATGTATTCCTACCAATGATGTAAATCATATTTGTTCGATTCATTAAAAAGGATGTTTTATCTGACACACATATTACACTTATCTGACACATTCATGTGCTAGCTATATAAATACACTTTGACATTCAAGCTAGCTAGCGACAGCGTGTCAGCGGAATTCAAACACTTACCTCTGTAATCGAAAATGAATTTCTCCCAGAAGAACTTGTACCCTTTCCTCAGTTTTGACGTTTCCACTTGAGAGTTTTCATTTACCATCCGAACCACATCGTCATATGTGACTTCAGGCAGGTTGCGGAGAGATTTGGTCCAGCGGTATCTATCGGACTCCGCCATTGTAAAAAGCTAACCGGTATAGCCGTATCCCTATTAAAAGACGTACTTCCGGTCTTCAATTTTTTCGTGACATGGGCCTATAAATACACAGACGCACAAACTACCGGTAAAGGTAAGGGGCGTGTCGTTTCCGAACAACGTGCACTAGGCGGTTAGCGAATCACAACACACGTGTTTTTGAGGGAGGGGCTTCAGAACCCGGAAATCATCCGACCGTTTTTACAAGGAGGGACAGAGCAGTGTAGAATAAAGGTAAAATATGTGAAAAATAATGCGAATTTTTAAAAACGAGGCATGAACACATGTTACAGTTTACCCCACAAACACAATCAAGCCTTCGAAAAAGGTGTTTTACCTCCCCTTTAAGGTTTTAGGAGTAAAATACTATGAGCAGGGGTTTGTTGCAATGATGAGGAGAAAAGGCTCTAAATACAGCAGTCTTTGTTTTATTAACAAAAAGATACTCAGAAACAGGACAACTAACTTAAAACGTAGACTGACACTGAACTAAAAAAACACACAGAACAAACCAATCAAAGAAATGTGACAACTTAATAATCAAACTATTTGTAACCTGAAACTGAAACACAGAGAAACGAGAAACTGAGGCACAGAAGTTAAACATAATACAACACCCATCCAAACATAACAAAAACAAAGATTATCTCCAAATCTAAGATTAATTTCTAGATATGGATGTACTCAACCAAAAACTTAACCAAATATTATATTAAGTATTAAAATGAGGTTTGAATTTGTTTTGCATCAAATAATTTGCAGAATTTGCCATGTGCAATTTTTAGCTAAATAAACACATTTATATATATATATAGGGATTTAATTATACATTTAGAAAGGCAAAAAGTTTAGTGTGACAGGGTTGACAATATTACACTTTAATGTAGCCTAGTGTTCGTAACCCGGTCACACTAAATGCGTTGTGTTTATTGTGCAATTTATAGACGAAAATTCATTTTTACGTGCATATGATGATATGCATGGGTGTTGTAGAGTGCGTGTGTATTGAGATTAGGCTGGTCATTCCCAGGGAATGCATGAACGGATAAGACAATTACTTTGAATGCAATATAAGTTGCTTTAGATGTAAACATCTGCCAAATGCACTAATGTAATGAACGATCTGATGTAAAGTGTTGTGCAAAACAATGTGAAACTACAAGGTTCTGTTTAGAAAGTCTTTATTGCTGATATTTGACAACCGTTTCAGCAGAAGTTCAGGAGTCTTCAGAAGAATCACTAATCTACAAGAAAGAATAAAATAATTTCAGCTCCAATAATAGGCGGGATGTAAATGTCATGATCATCCGGTTAGGCTTTATTTTGTGATAATGACTGTGCATTATCCCTTACAAAGCTGTTGTATGACATGGTTCATGTTAGTTTATCATAGTATGATGCTCAATAATTACCATCCATTTGATCTTCTTGCTGTTCTTGTTGTCATCCTCCTACACCTGAAAGAATAAACAGATTTAGTTGATGTGCAGTGTGTGTCAGTCTGAGTTTTTGATTGTGATCACATCACCTTAATCACAGCAGAACATGCGCACGTCATTGAGAGCGGTGTCGTCTCCTTCGAATCCCTGTGGCTCTTCTATCCGGGTCTTGATGCCACAGATTCCTCTTCCCAGACACGTTATGCTCCAGTCACCCCAATCGCCCCAGTCTGTGCCGTCACCTTGAAGCACAGAACCTCCACTGCAGTTGAATCTGAAATAAATGTGACAGTATTATGTTAAAGTGCCCATATGCTTTTTCGGATATGACCTTTCATGCAATGTGTAATAGAGCTGTTTGTGAATGTAAAAGTCTCAAAGTGCAGATAAATGGAGTTTTTGTCTCCCAAAAGAAAGAATCGATTCTGAACTGCCTGAAACGAGTCGTCAGTAATTCAAGTCTCACTTCCTGCTGAACATACGTAATGAATTTGCATAATGCCAGTCTATGGTATTCATTGGCTGAACAGCGTGTCTTAGCTCCGCCCTCAAACACTAGTGTATCTGAGACTGGGAGAGTTTGGTTCGTGTTGTTCGTGTCGAGAAGACGCTGTTTTCTGCTGACAAAGCAAATCCACTTTGATGAGATTGATACGGTAAACCCCACGCCATCGTTACTGTTCGTATCACTGTGATCAAGAGCTGAGAGTCAGATATGATAATGAGCGTTTAGTTTCTGACCAATCACAGCACACTGGGCCGTCTGACCAATCAGAGCAGAGCGGCTCTCAGAGAGGCGGGGTTTAGAGAGACTGAATCTTCAAACGAAGCGTTTCAGACGCTGTGAGAAAAGAGCAGTGGATATTATGAGGAAATTAAAGTGTGTTTTGACCAACCTATTTTCAATGGAAAAAAGCTAAAGCCCACTCAAAAAATGTTGCGCCAACTGTCGGCAGTTTACATCTGTTTTCTTTCCTAATCCGTGCTCACATATTGTAATTTTAATATAGCTGAATGAATGTCCAATAAATCTATTCTTACTTACATATTTTCTGTCAGACAGCTGACTACATGTAAACCATCAATCCAAAAAGTCGCTAAAAATAAGTCGCTATAGGGGTATGAAAAGTCGCTAATCCTGTGACAAACTTACTAAATTGGCAACTGGCAATTGGATGCACTTAAACCGAGACTCTAGAACACAATTTTGAACCTTTAAAATAGCACAATAGGGGTACTTTAAACATGAAGTTTGACTTTTTTTGGACATTTCTTTTTTAGCAGAGAAGAAATATATGAACTAGTGAAACTATTGATTTACTGTTTATAGAACTTAGAAATATATAGAAATATAACACTTAATAGTCGTGTTGTTGGTCTGAATATCATTCATATGCTTGATGAGGGAAAACTGACCCTGAATGGCAAATTCAGAATGATTGTTCTGTTACCCACTCACCTGATGTTGTTTGCGGCCGTATTATCTTCAATTCTTTGGATAGATTGGACTCTCAGCTGGAAAGCTGTCAAGAATCCCGAAGGACACCATTTGATATCTTTCCACTTACCCCAGCTAAAGAAAACACACAATTTATGGCTTTTTTTGAAGGTTTATTGAAGACAATGAAGATTAAATCTGTAATTATTTTCAAGAAAATCCACAGTTCATATATCTAGCTTATGAAGAAACTGCTCTTTAATGTAAGAATTCTTCATAAACTCAAAGTAAACATGCTGTTACTAGTTTTACTTCATTGCATAGAGTCCGAGCCCATTACCTTCCTACGTCAGACTGAACAGAGATTTCCTTATTTAAGTCTGATAAGTCTTTGGTCCGACTGGCACAGTAAAGACGAATCCCGTTGAGTGCTGTGTTATCCCAAAAAACAGGGTCTTCCACCTAAAAACCAAAAGAAAAAAATAGCAACAACATTAAGACAATCCTCTATTTGATAATGTTCTGGCAGGTGGAGATTAACTAACACACACACACACACACACACACACACACACACACACACACACACACACACACACACACACACACACACACACACACACACACACACACACACACACACAGCTTTGTTTTTGTGATATATGAGGACATTCCATAGGCGTAATGACTTTTATACTGGACAAACTGTATATTCTATCCCCCTACACTGCCCCTATCCCTAAACCTACCCATCACAGGAGACATGCTGCATTTTTACATTTAAAAAAAAACATTGTTTTTTATGTTTTTTAAGCTATTTGAAATATGAGGACTCATGCAATGTCCTCATATATCACGTGTAAGTTGTAATACCAGTGTAATATGCATGTCATTATACACATTTGTGTCCTCATATATCACAAAAACAAACACACACACACACACACACACACACACACACACACACACACAGACAGACACACACACACACACACACACACACACACACACAAAACCTCCAGGCCAATCACAGTGTTTGTTTATAAAACATAAATTATAGGGAATCCAAAAGCCTCTCAATATAAGGACCTATTTACGGTTACACATGTTTTTATTTTTTAACACCTCCAGATGATACTATTCTCACTTCAAAAAAATGGATTTCAAAGGCCTTCACTCTATTTTAATCTGAAATATTGCATTTATTGAAAAAATAATGGGGGAAAATACATTAACTTCAGTGGAAAAAATAGCTTATAAAAAATGAAACAATATTGCATAGTATCATAAAATCCCCTAAAAATTCTAAATAATAAAAAAATATTATTGAACAAAAATAAATTACATTGATTTTCCTGAAAAAAAAAAAAAACATTTCAAAGCTTCAGTCATTTTTGACAGCGAGGGAGCCAAGTTTGACCCCAAAATGAAGAGGCTCAGAGGGTTAAAGTCTACATAACACTTCTGACATGAGAAGAAAAAAAGTTGACAGGACTTGGTTTTACACTTCAGGAATTGATTGAATCATGAAAAATCTTGATTAAGTTGATATTTTCTAACCCAGATACTTTTTCTTGTTTAAATCTCAAACTCACTTCAAGCCATTTTGCTTCTTCTCCAGTAAATGTATCTTGATTTAAGAATGTTAAGATATTTGTACTGGAAAACAAGACAAAAATACTGAGTTAGAAAATCAAAACCACTTTCATGAGTCAATGGTCAACTTACCATCAGACTAAACCCCGTGGCGTATGTTCCAGTTGGACAAAATTCCCTTTGACCCCACGACCCCCACTGCAATCCATTCGACACAGTCAGCAACGATACGAAAGATCTTTCGATGCTCTGCTCAGAAGGTTTTCCAGCGGACTGAACGCTCACATGCAGCACAATAATGGCTAGCAGTGAAAACACAATGAAGGGATGCATTGCATTGCCTAATAATGATTCAATTAATTCTTTTTGGTTTCTAAACCAAAAACTAACCCCGGGTTTCTAAGCCTTCGTTGGTTGGTCAGTAGAACATGCATGCTTCTTTTTTGAGCCAATCAGAACATTACATTTATATGAATTTAAATTCAGCCAATCAGCAGCCAGGAACACTGAGTCCACGTCAATGCCTGTAAATAAACACACAGAAATAAACATCTGTTTGTTTAACTGAGTTTTCTTGGAAAGTCTTTTACTCAGTAAAATCTATTGCTGGGTTGATTTTGTCATTTTATTGTTTGTTGTAAATATCAAGGCTTGCAAAGCGGCAGGAAAAGATCAGCTAAAAACGATCATTCTGTCATCATCTACTCACTTTCATGTCGTTCCAAACCTGTATGACTTTCTTTATCTCAAGAAGAATTTAAGTGTCATAAATATATTTTCACACAAATTGACTTCTGAAGTCTTATGATAATTTGGATGAAGAAATGAAACCACATAAAAATCAGTGTTTATCCATATTGTTCCAGTCGGTGAAACTAAATGATTGTGCAAGTCACGTAAACACACTTTAGACAAACACTGATCAGCTCCAATTGCCAGTAAAAGCATGTGCCCTTTTAAAAAGTTTATTTACACTTTTTATCTTTCATGAGGTTTTAGATACTGGGAAGCAGAAATCACACATTTAAGCAAATATGATCCATGAAGCGTCTGTGTGTGTAGGAAATTAACAATCTTTGATTTCTGATTCATAAATGCTTCTTGATTATTTGTGATAGTCACTGCAGGGTTTACAATCTTCTCAAATATTAAAATAAGGTTTGAATTTGTTTTGCATCAAATCATTTTCTGAATATGCATTGGGCCATTTTAGCTAACTAATAAAAACACATTTATATATTGGGATATAATTATATCTTTACCAAGGCAAAAAGTTTAGGGAAACAGGATTGACACACTTTAATTTCACGAGCTCACATCTACATATAACTATTATGGTAAAGGTTATGCGTACTTGGCGTGCTGTCCGGGTGGAGTGCTCCGAGCTCGGCATTTCTGCCCGAACCCAGAGTACTCCTCCCAAAAAGCAAAAGAGCAAAAGAACAGCCGTCAGACTATAGACCGCCCAAAGACGCAGCGAATTTGGCGGGCTGGTTTTTCAATAAGCTTGATCGCTTGTCCGGGATATCTCCATGGCGTTAACGGGTAAGTCCCGCGGACAGATGGACGGGGAGAAGCGGGAATCGAAAAAATGGCTGACCGGGAGGGTTCATGTAGCTTCTGACGTGAGTGGCTCAATTGCGTCAGGATATTGGGCTCTACCGGCCTGCGAGGTGAAATGAATTTGAAGAGAATAGAGATAAGTACATAGTACGTCCGCTGGGAGACCAATGCTCGTTGGACGGGAGAGAGTAGAGATAAGTACATAGTACGTCCGCTGGGAGACCAATGCTCGTTGGACGGGAGAGAGTAGAGATAAGTACATAGTACGTCTGCTGGGACACCAATGCTCGCTGGACGGGAGAGAGTAGAGATAAGTACATAGTACGTCCGCTGGGAGACCAATGCTCGCTGGACGGGAGAGAGTAGAGATAAGTACATAGTACGTCCGCTGGGAGACCAATGCTCGTTGGACGGGAGAGAGTAGAGATAAGTACATAGTACGTCCGCTGGGACACCAATGCTCGCTGGACGGGAGAGAGTAGAGATAAGTACATAGTACGTCCGCTGGGAGACCAATGCTCGTTGGACGGGAGAGAGTAGAGATAAGTAAATAGTACGTCCGCTGGGAGACCAATGCTCGTTGGACGGGAGAGAGTAGAGATAAGTAAATAGTACATCCGCTGGGAGACCAATGCTCGCTGGACGGGAGAGAGTAGAGATCAGTACATGGTACGTCTGCTGGGAGACCAATGCTCGCTGGACGGAAGAGAGTAGAGATAAGTACATGGTACGTCCGCTGGGAGACCAATGCTCGCTGGACGGAAGAGAGTAGAGATCAGTACATGGTACGTCCGCTGGGAGACCAATGCTCGCTGGACGGAAGAGAGTAGAGATAAGTACATGGTACATCCGCTGGGAGACCAATGCTCGCTGGACGGGAGAAAGTAGAGATCAGTACATGGTACGTCCGCTGGGAGACCAATGCTCGCTGGACGGAAGAGAGTAGAGATAAGTACATGGTACGTCCGCTGGGAGACCAATGCTCGCTAGACGGGAGAGAGTAGAGATAAGTAAATAGTACATCCGCTGGGAGACCAATGCTCGCTGGACGGGAGAGAGTAGAGATCAGTACATGGTACGTCCGCTGGGAGACCAATGCTCGCTGGACGGAAGAGAGTAGAGATAAGTACATGGTACGTCCGCTGGGAGACCAATGCTCGCTGGACGGAAGAGAGGAGAGATCAGTACATGGTACGTCCGCTGGGAGACCAATGCTCGCTGGACGGAAGAGAGTAGAGATAAGTACATGGTACGTCCGCTGGGAGACCAATGCTCGCTGGACGGAAGAGAGTAGAGATAAGTACATGGTACATCCGCTGGGAGACCAATGCTCGCTGGACGGGAGAGAGTAGAGATCAGTACATGGTACGTCCGCTGGGAGACCAATGCTCGCTGGACGGAAGAGAGTAGAGATAAGTACATAGTACGTCCGCTGGGAGACCAATGCTCGCTGGACGGGAGAGAGTAGAGATCAGTACATGGTACGTCCGCTGGGAGACCAATGCTCGCTGGACGGAAGAGAGTAGAGATAAGTACATAGTACGTCCGCTGGGAAACCAATGCTCGCTGGACGGGAGAGAGTAGAGATAAGTACATAGTACATCTGCTGGGAGACCAATGCACGCTGGACGGGAGAGAGTAGAGATAAGTAAATAGTACATCCGCTGGGAGACCAATGCTCGCTGGACGGGAGAGAGTAGAGATAAGTAAATAGTACATCCGCTGGGAGACCAATGCTCGCTGGACGGGAGAGAGTAGAGATAAGTACGTCCGCTGGGAAAGCAATGCTCACTGGACGGGAGAGAGTAGAGATCAGTACATGGTACGTCCGCTGGGAGACCAATTTTCACTGGACGGAAGAGAGTAGAGATAAGTAAATAGTACGTCCGCTGGGAGACCAATGCTCACTGGACAGGAGAGAGTAGAGATCAGTACATGGTACGTCCGCTGGGAGACCAATGCTCGCTGGACGGAAGAGAGTAGAGATAAGTACATGGTACGTCCGCTGGGAGACCAATGCTCGCTGGACGGAAGAGAGTAGAGATAAGTACATGGTACGTCCGCTGGGAGACCAATGCTCACTGGACAGGAGAGAGTAGAGATCAGTACATGGTACGTCCGCTGGGAGACCAATGCTCGCTGGACGGAAGAGAGTAGAGATAAGTACATAGTACATCCGCTGGGAGACCAATGCTCGCTGGACGGGAGAGAGTAGAGATAAGTAAATAGTACATCCGCTGGGAGACCAATGCTCGCTGGACGGGAGAGAGTAGAGATAAGTAAATAGTACATCCGCTGGGAGACCAATGCTCGCTGGACGGGAGAGAGTAGAGATAAGTACATCCGCTGGGAGACCAATGCTCGCTGGACGGGAGAGAGTAGAGATAAGTACATAGTACATCCGCTGGGAGACCAATGCATGCTGGACGGGAGAGAGTAGAGATAAGTACACAGTACATCCGCTGGGAGACCAATGCATGCTGGACGGGAGAGAGTAGAGATAAGTAAATAGTACATCCGCTGGGAGACCAATGCTCGCTGGACGGGAGAGAGTAGAGATAAGTAAATAGTACATCCGCTGGGAGACCAATGCTCGCTGGACGGGAGAGAGTAGAGATAAGTAAATAGTACATCCGCTGGGAGACCAATGCTCGCTGGACGGGAGAGAGTAGAGATAAGTACGTCCGCTGGGAAAGCAATGCTCGCTGGACGGGAGAGAGTAGAGATCAGTACATGGTACATCCGCTGGGAGACCAATGCATGCTGGACGGGAGAGAGTAGAGATAAGTAAATAGTACATCCGCTGGGAGACCAATGCTCGCTGGACGGGAGAGAGTAGAGATAAGTAAATAGTACATCCGCTGGGAGACCAATGCTCGCTGGACGGGAGAGAGTAGAGATAAGTACGTCCGCTGGGAAAGCAATGCTCACTGGACGGGAGAGAGTAGAGATCAGTACATGGTACGTCCGCTGGGAGACCAATGCTCGCTGGACAGGAGAGAGTAGAGATAAGTAAATCGTATGTCCGCTGGGAAACCAATGCACGCTGGACAGGAGAGAGTAGAGATAATCACACAGTACGTCTGCTAGGAGACCAATGCTCGCTGGACAGGAGAGAGTAGAGATCAGTAAATAGTACATCCGCTGGGAGACCAATGCTCGCTGGACGGGAGAGAGTATAGATAAGTACATAGTACATCCGCTGGGAGAACAATGCATGCTGGACGGGAGAGAGTAGAGATAAGTAAATAGTACATCCGCTGGGAGACCAATGCTCGCTGGACGGGAGAGAGTAGAGATAAGTAAATAGTACATCCGCTGGGAGACCAATGCTCGCTGGACGGGAGAGAGTAGAGATAAGTACGTCTGCTGGGAAAGCAATGCTCACTGGACGGGAGAGAGTAGAGATCAGTACATGGTACGTCCGCTGGGAGACCAATGCTCGCTGGACAGGAGAGAGTAGAGATAAGTAAATCGTATGTCCGCTGGGAAACCAATGCACGCTGGACAGGAGAGAGTAGAGATAATCACACAGTACGTCTGCTAGGAGACCAATGCTCGCTGGACGGGAGAGAGTAGAGATCAGTAAATAGTACATCCGCTGGGAGACCAATGCTCGCTGGATGGGAGAGAGTGGAGATAATCACACAGTACGTCCGCTGGGAGACCAATGCTCGCTGGATGGGAGAGAGTAGAGATAATCACACAGTACGTCCGCTGGGAGACCAATGCTCGCTGGACGGGAGAGAGTAGAGAGAAGTAAATAGTAC